CTTTTCAAAAAAAGTTGCAGGAAAACACTCCAGCTTCTCTTCCCCAGGGCAGATATTGCCATCTAAATTGCCCAGAAATCAATCTGGGAATACACAACTGAAAGTCTGTTGCCAGAATGACCTAAGAAAACCATCTCCTTTTGGACTGGAAGGGTTTTTTGCATTAACGAACTGTTGAAATCCTGGGACTTCATTGGATTGAATTTTGAAAGTAAGAGCACCATGCAAAAAGTCTGTGTTCCAATTCCTTTGAAAGACAAATGATGTGAGCTCCACCTGAGCTGTCAAAATTGTTACTTTACCAGGTAGTTTATTTGTCACATGGTTTTGTTCTGATAGATATGGTAACCATCTAAAAATGCCATGGAATAGGATTCTCCATTGTCCACCAATACATTGGCTGTGATGTCCTCTATATAATCACGTATTTTTGCCCCCATCTCCACGATGTTTTTCATATCCTTGCCAAGAGTAAGTTCAGGAATTTTTTCAATGAAGGCAAAACATACACCACTGCCAGAAAACAGTGGGACCACCATCTGGAGGAATCGCTCCCCTTTGTCATTATCCGTAATGACTGTCCCAATCCATGTCCACCCAAAATGCAGCAGCAAAACGAGGATCCCTGCATACTGGAGGGTCTCCCTTAGAGTCATGTTGTAGAAGGTCAGGCCGGGGGTTTTATCATTCATCACTGGAGCAGAGCCATATATCAGCTAAGGGAATACAAGAAGGAGAGGGAGAAGCACCAGGTAATACAGAAATTCTTTTGACATATTCGTTGTTTTGCAAACATTTACATAACTTCAGATAACTTCTCAACAATATTTTAATACTGAGATCCTCAGTTTGTCATGGCACGTGTGGGCACCTCCATAAGGCCCTGAAAAGAGATCTCCAGTGTGGCACCCAGGGGCATCTTTTTTCCCCCTACTTTGTGTAGACCCTCCTTTCTCAGATCCATGTCCACATGAAGGATCAGAGTCCCAGCAGAATATCCCCACTCCCCACTTTGTTTGCTTCACCTTCAATGTTCTCCCTCATCCAAAGGAGAAAGAGAATATGATAACTTCCAATGTCCAAATCTCCATCTCCAAAGCGCAAGTACAACTATGAAAGAACAAAGTGAATGTGAAGAAAATGTTACACTCCTATTCCCCATGTTTGTCAATATTACCGGTCCAGGGATTTTGGCCAGACAGGGACAGAAGGGTCTCTGAGGTGAATGACTGGCTTATGGTGTGGTGACAGAAGGAACGCTTCAGGTTCTTCGACCATGGCACTCGTTTTCTTGCCAATGGACTTCTGTCAAGGGATGGGTTGCACCTCACGAGGATGGGGAAAAGGTCCTTTGGAGATGCTCTAGTGAGCTTCGTCCAGAAGGCTTTAAACTGAGCCAAGGGGGGGTGGGTTCAGGCTCCCAAGAAATGTGTCTGTACAGCACTGGACAAGGGTGGGGAGAGGAACAGGGCTCTGGGATCAGGGTTTTAGAGGTACTGCAGGGACTGACAGGACTCCTACAGAGAGGGGCCAGGTATTAGGGAGGATGGGAAGAAGGAGGAGACTGGGAACTCCAAGGAAAGGAAGTGGTGGGAAGGAGTTGAGGTGCATGTACACAAAAGCTAGGAGCATGGGTAATAAGCAGGAAGAGCTTGAAGCACTCCTGGAAATAGGAGAGTATGACCTGGTGGGACTCACAGGCACTTGGTGGGATGAAAGGCAAGTCTGGAATGTGAACATAGAGGGGGTATCACCTTTTTAGAAAGGACAGGAAGGGAAAGAGGGTGGGGGTGTGGCTTTATACGTCAGGGAAGGGATAGGATGTAGTGAGATAGAATGCAGCACAGATGGGGATTTGGTAGAGGCAGTCTGGGTGAAACTTAGGGGTTTTGACAGGGAAAGAGACCTGACAGTGGGAATATGTTATCGCCCTCCAGGTCAACTTGAGACCCTGGATGATGTCCTGACAGGCCAGATTCTAAGGATATCTCTGGGGAGAGACACAGTAATTATGCGAGATTTCAATCTCCCGGATATTACTTGGGAGACTCACTCAGCAGTGACAGCCAGGTCACGTCACTTCCTAGAAGCTATAGAGGGAGGGTTTTTCACACAGAGGGTCCAAGAGGCAACGAGGAGGGGAAACAGCCTTGATTTGGTCTTGACCAACAGGGAGGAGCTGATAGACGAAGTACAGATTAGGGGAGCTCTGGATGTGAGTGATCACGCCATTCTTTGCTTTGAGAACAAGGGACTGGGGACATGCAGCAGATCGAGCACTAGAAGCTGGGACTTCAAGAGGGCCAACATTGGTCAACTGAAGGCCAGACTGTGGAAAGTCTCCTGGGATAGGTTCCTGGAAGGTAAGCGAGTTGATGAGGGGTGGATGGCACTCAAAAGGGAGGTTTCGGAGGAGCAAGCCTTGACGATACCTCTAGTCAGTAAGGTGGGGAGGTGGAGGAGAGCCGCGCCATGGATGCGAAAGGAGGTGTTTAGAGGGATTAGACGAAAGAGGAACCTTCGTAGGAAATGGGTACTGGGGCAAATAGACAAAGGAGTATACCAGGAAGAGGAGGCCCATTGCAGAAGGATTCTTCGAAAGGCTAAGGGTTATTACGAGGTGAGACTTGCCAAGAATATCAAGAGCAACAAAAAGGGCTTCCTTCAGAATGTAAATAGGAAGAGGAAGGGGAGGCACGTAGTGGGACCACTAAATAAGGAGGAAGGAGATCCAGTGACTGATACCACGGAACAGGCACAGGTGCTAAATGACTATTTTGCCTCTGTGTTCTCCCCAAAGAAGGACTGGGGATATCCACATAGGAGATTAGATGAGGCTAGGGACTTAGGGGCACAGATTAGGGTCACCCCCCTTGATGTCGAGGGGCTCCTCTGGGCATTGGACATTACAAAGGTGCCAGACCCTGATGAGTACTTAGAG